CTTTATACAAGAAGGAACTAGCATTCCAAGGGCCTTACTCTTGATGGTGGATACACATAGAGAAATCATACTTTTTGATTTTTGCTATCTTCATCAACACCCTAAAAACAAGTGGGTTCAAAGGCTTCAAAGGTTATCATTATTAAACACTCTTTGGTTGTTTTATTTCATTATAACCTCTATAAATGGATCATTGATGGTTTGGTTTTGTTATAAACTAAAAAATAAACTTGTTATTTTTATAAGTCTTCCGTTGCGGTTTTTGTTAAAAAAAACTTATATTTTTGTATCAAAACCCATCATGACGGCGCACACCTTAAAGGGAAATACTTGGGCTCCATGTTCCTAGCAGTAGGCATGGATGGTAATAACCAAATCCTCCCTATTGCATTTGGTGTTGGGAAAACTGAAAGTGGAAAGTCATGGATTTGGTTTTTATCAAGAGTCAAAGAATGTATTGGGGACATGTCATCTTTGGCTATCATATCAGATAGAGCCAACTCAATTGAAATGGTCATTCAATTCGTGTTCCCGAATGCATATCACAGACTTTGTTGTTGCCATTTGTTGATGATTATGAGAGAAAATATCAGCAAGCAATACAGAACAAAGATTTTCTTTTGGGAGGCTGCAAAGGCTTACCGAGAGTCTAATTTCAAAGAAAGCTTGGTTAGGTTACGTCGTACACTAAACGATGATTGTCAGACATGGCTAGAAAGAATCGGTAACGAGAGATGGGCAAGGTCGTGTTTCAATGTGGTTCGGTACAATATTATGACATCAAACAGTGTCGAGTTCGTCAATGCATTATGAAGAGACTTATAGAAACTACCAATAACAATGTTGATTGATTTCTTTCAAGCAACTATGTAACAATGGTGGTGCCAGTGACCTAATGTTGGAAGTAAGTGTTTCCCTATATTGTAATACTTACATGATAATTGTAGTGTAATTTACTGTGCATGACAACATATACGTAAATGTTTGTTATAGCTGAAAGAAAAAAAAGATGTTACTGAGTATGCTGAGAAGGTCATCGAGAGGAGGATCAACAAATCCTCTGCTTTTCGAGTATACCAAATTGATCAAAGCAGATATGACGTGACTAAACAAATGAAAAATGGTATAGTAAACTTGGAAAGTCGTTACTGCACGTGTGGGAAATGACAATTGTCAGATATACCTTGTACTCATACTATGGCAGTATTCAAGGAACTGAGATATCAACACTGCAGTACATGGGTGTCATCGTACTTCACAATGGAAACATATCGATCAACATATGTATAGGTTGTGTTTCATGTGCCAGTTCCAGCTTAATACTAAGAACCAGATGAAGTCATGTTTTTTTGCCACAATTGATGGACAAACGACAAGTCGGACTACCTAAAAACCATAACCGTATCCCATCCCAGGGTGAAGGTCCGATTCAGAAAAAATGTAGTCATTGCCAAAGGATCGGTCACACAAGCAGAAACTGTGACGCTTCGCTTCCCACAGAGTCAACAAAAAGTGAATCTTAAAGTAGGACCAAGTTAAGTGGCAAAAGTACGTTAAGTCTAAGAGTAGACATACTAGTCAAAAAGGTAGCCAACAGTATGATACTGTTGATTTGAAAAACCTATAGTGATGTTTGTACGATATCATAATATTCTAGAAAATGTTGTTCAGAAGGATAAACTTGTTTTTGCTACATCTTTAAAAGGAAATTGTTTTAAAACATTGACAAAGAAAACCATAACTCAAACATTAGCGTAATTTTCAGCATCAATCCATTGGACACTCTCAATCCACCACAAAACAGCACGCTCTTGTGCAGTAGGCTGCAACAACTCGTTGGGGGGACGCTGCATAAAAACAATATAAAGGTTAATCTTAAGTTATTTATGGCATAACATCTTGTAAATTATAAGGTGGACTAAACTACATACATTAGTAACATCGATAATATGTTGACAATCAGGTGCTTGCAAACGCCTCATCCTAGGGTATGAAACTGCCTGAGGGATAACACTTGGTATAGGGGAACCAACTATACTACTGTTGGGAAATGTCTCCATGATCCAAATCTACAAAATTAAGATATCAAACAACTTACCAAATTAACAAATTTACAATACTTTGTTGTTTAAAAACTCTTATTAAACATAGTGTACATGCCTTAAATGCATAGACAAATCCCTACAAAGTATATGTGTGTCTACTGCCGACTCTTGACGCATTTGGGTTCAAATGGTCCTCAATCTTATCAAACACAATACGCATATGTTTGTAAGTGAAATCCCATATCAATCTGCCCCATGGGTACCTATGTCAAAAAATTACACTTAATAAGTATATATATCATTTTGATATAATGTGAGTAAAAACTGTATACCTGTTAAACTCCTGTAAATTAGAGATGAGTGTCAGAAATTCATTAGTAACTGGCTGTCGAGGGTATTTCCCCAAAAATCTTTACTCTAGCATATACAACAGGGAGACTCTAATAACGTCTTCATTACTTAATTGATGAAGTAAGTTATTGAACACGTGCGCAAGGTCAGCCACACTCACCGAACATAAAAGTGGCACAAACGGAAACACGCGTTCTCTGAATCTGCAAAACCAAAATTGTGATGGAAATAATTCCTGAATTGCAAGGTGGTGACAAAGTAGAATGCTTTCCTGTCAAAGCAAACCCGATAGTCGCCAACCGGAAATAGAAGCTCTTGTAGGTCAACTGGATCAAAAGTAGTAAATTCCTTGCACATAAGATAGTGACATAGTAAAGGGTGGCATTCGACACCCATCGACATGTTCACGTAATCACCAAAACATGATTGCCTAAACATCACCCCACAGGTCGGTTTTGTAAGTGCGCCATGATTTCGCGCCCAAGTCCAGGCCTGTAGGTTGTAGCAACAACCGCTTCGTATGTTCTATCGTGCTACAATCAAAATAATTATTAATTAGGGATTTTTGTATGTATGTTCTGGAATGGAATTCAGGACAAAAAAAAATATGGAACGGTAGTTCAGACCAAAATTCCGGAACCGGCTCCTTGTATTCCAGAGAGTTCTACGTATTTCGGACATGATTTTCGAATTTCAGACACGTTCCGGAATAGCGAAAATTAGGAAATGATAACAATTTATTATGTAGTATAAATGTATAAATACATGTAATCCTGTAATTGCCTTAACACGATTAAAATTCACAGAAAACCCTATAATACCTATATAATTGTGTAAACTAAACATGTTTTAACGTATAATCTAAACATGTTTTTACCCTAATCATAAACAAATTTGAAACTTACATATAAAAGCTGCATTTCTTCACTGAAGACATTTTCAATTGTAGAGATGTCCAGAATGTAATATAGGGTAATCTGAAACAAGGGAATGACGAAATCTAATTTGAAACGGGTTTAAAGGTATTTATAGGAGAACCAGATTACCGGGTCGGAATTATCTACCCTGTTTACCAAATATTAAATCGGGTTCGGAATGGGATCCGGACCAAGTGGTCATTTTGCAAGAAAAAAAAAGTTATATTTAAAAAAAATAAATAAATAAAAAGGTTATTCAATTTCCCTAAAATAAAATTTCAAACATCTTTTTTCTTCTGCTTAGCTTGTGGTGCATACACATCGACAAGAAAGCACCGAAGATTATAAACAACCCAATCTCCCTCCACTATAAGCACATTATCAATTGCAAACGTTTTAACCCTCACAAAAAACAATCGGATCCCACACAGTAAGGCTAAGGGAGTGGTGGCACTCCTAACACCTTGCCACATCATTTTTTATTGTCATGTCACTTTTTTGTCTGCCACATCGCTAGCACATTTTTCTTAGCATTTGATAAGGAGTGGTAACACCCTTAACACTCCTTGAGTTTTTTTTTCAAACTTAAATAAATCATATTTTTTAAAACTATGTTTAAGATTAAATGTGACAAACTAACTATACTTTAGGGACTTAATATGTAAGTTTAGAAAAAAAAAAAGTCAAAAATGGCTTTTGACCATAGTGTTAGAACTTAGACGCATCGCTTTCATTTTAGTTCTCTTTCATTTTAGTTCTCTTTGTCAAACAAATACATTCGTTTTCTCTTTGTCAAATCTTCTTATAATTTCTTCATAAATTGAAATATATGCAAAGAGAAAAGATTATCCGAAGCATTATTCAGATGGTCTTTTTCGTGGGCTTTGGTATGATTTCAGTTTAAAGGGGAGATAAAACCCTAACGACAGCAGCAATGCTCCAAGAAAGAAAAAGAAAAAAAAAATAGCCAATCAGCTCTTCTCTTTCTCTCTCTCTCCTCTCGCTAGCTTTTTGGCGAGTTCTTTTTAGGCTAAAAGGAGTGGTAACATGCTTAGCATGTTGCCACATAGGATTTTTTTAAGCCACATGGTAAGATGAGTGGTATAGCATCTAAGTTGTAAGAGACAGGGAGTGGTAGCATTTAAAAGGTTGTTTTATTTTAGTTTAAAAAAATAGAAAAAAAAAAAGAAATGAGAAATAAGCCCATCATAGTCTTTCTCTTCCATTTCTCTTTCTCTTTCCTGTCGCTGGAAGTGTGGCGAGTAATATTTGGCGTGTCGCTGGAAGTGTGGCGAGTAATATTTGGCGAGGCATGCAACAAATATGAAGGGAGTGGTAATAGCAATAGTGGCGAGCTGGAGGCGAGCTTTTGGCGAGAGCCACTCCCTCCAGCCTTAGCGACCCATTTAGCATAATTAAGGTGTGATGTAGCGAATTGGACGCGAGGGTAGTGGCGAGGTTGGCGCCTCCCACTCCACTATAAGTACATAAGTTTATGGACGATATATTCATTTAATAATACCATTGGTAGCACCAATGCGTTCAATCATTTCAACATACAAATTACCTACTATAATACACATTTTAGTGGTCAAATTCATTGTAAGTTAGTGCAATTTACCTTAATATAACATTTAGCATCATCAATATTATCGGTGCAACTTCAAACAATAGAACCATTATCCGGAGACTTTTCTCAAAGAGATTTGAAGGACAATACGTGATTAGATTAATCGGGGATAGAATTCAACACTTTTTGTAAGAAATATGTACACAACAATAAACAACTAAACATATTATGTGAATCATGAGCAAATGAGAAGAGTTTTATTTAACGAATAAATCTTGAAAGCTGAAAGCAACTAATACTGCTGGGACCCAAATGTGTTCTCGCCACTGTACGTAACGTATAGAAATCCATCTTCATCCTTCTTTTCATCATATATCGTTGACATAATTGCCCCTACAAACATCAACAATCAAAATCACATTAATTAAAATATGCCATAAATGTGCCTAAACTCAAAATATTTATATACATGTGTTACAAAAATACCTGTAGGTGGAAGAACATTCTCCACGAAAATAAATATAGCTTTTTCCGCACTAAGTTTAATCCTTTTACGAATCACATACACAAACTGCCCTACAGTAAGATCAGCAGGGACAAGGTACCTGTAATAATCATATAAATAAATTTAAAAACCCTTAAAAAAATATGTTATGATGATATGAAGGGTATTTACGTCTTTTACAAAAATAAAAGTGGTTGTGTGTATGGGACAAAAAGTTGCAGTTTGTTATGTCCTGGAACAAAAGGACCTTAAACATATCAAAATCATGAATACACAAGAAATATAAACATACTTCTTCTTGTCAATGTTAGGAATGTCGCTTTTCTCTGCCTTTTCCACAATCACCTTCCAGTAAAAACAATAAAATACAAATAAGAAAAGGGTAAAAAAAAGAAAAAAAAAACAAATATTGTAATTTTAATAGTTTTATGTGATTTTTTTGGGGGTCTTGTTTATATGGTATGACAAAAGTGAATATGTGATTGTGTCGCATGTAAAGATTTTAGTCATCGACTCATTTCGAGTAATTGAGCCAAAACAGGAGGGGCGAAATATACAAACTGATTATAATTTTTTTCTTGGGATGCTGAAATTCTTCAATATAAAATAAGTATTAAGTTAAGATTTTTTTTCACGTTATTAAATTTTTTTATTTTGTGGGTCCTTTGCTCAATATAATAAGAAAAATAAACGATTGGCGAAAAATAAAAGTAAAAGGTTAGCTCATACCGGAATTCTATCCGGGTATTTCTCCCTAATTCTTGAAGCTTCGGCGTGCCTCTTTGCTGAAGAAAGCAACAATTAAAGATCCATTTAATATTCTAATAACTATATTATTTGATCATTATGGGTATATAAATTTTGAATAAATTATATAAAAAATGTGGACATATGAACTTACAGAATTCATGCTCTTGCTTGAAGTTGCCTTTAGCCATTTTTGTTTCAAGAACTGCAATAGACCTTGAAATATTAATTATTATGCATATCAAAACTTATGATTCAATCCAAAAACATGCCTATGGGCACTTCAAATTAAGAAAAAAAAATATGATCATCTCTTTAAAAATTTGATGTAACGTATCAAAAATTTGAAAACTATTATTTGTATTCGCTAATATAGCTTACAAGCAAACTACAAGCCGTTGATTCCATAACAGAAATGAATGAAAAACAAAGAGCAAATCACATATCAAAATCAAATTGAACGATCGAAATAACAAGAGAAACATGTATTGGAACAACAGCTACAGAATCTAGCTAACTACTATGATCAAACAAAGACCCCAGAAAACCTAATTTCCATAGATTTCAAGACGAAAGGTAGAAAACACCGATAAAAAATCTAGCTTACTTCCATGAATAATAAAAAAAAAAAAAAAAAAAAAAAACCCAATTGCATATATGTAAGTAATCAAGGAAAATCGAACGTATCGAACTGATTCAAGACAAATATGGGTTTGAGGATACATACAGCTGATGATCAGATTGAAGTGGGTAACCGAAGAGAAACTATTGAATTGGTTCTTCGAATTCGTGGAGTATCGTACCGGATTCAGAAGTATTTGAGCGAAGAACGGGGGGAAGTGGTTGCGTCTTTGGGTTGAATTATTGAAGAATATAGGCGATCAATTCGGGAGGGTGACTCAATAGATAGCATCAATGGAATTATTATTAATATTATATATGTTTTTTTTTTTGGGTATTCTCCAAGTAAATTTAAACTAATAATGTAATCCAAATGGATGGATAAACTCCCACGTCAAATTTGGATATTCTCATCGATCATCGCCGACATTATTGGATATTGATTATAATCACATTAAATTGTTGGTATTCATTTATGGTTTATATCTTTTTCGTTTGTAATATTTATAAATACCGATACCTTTGTTATTTGCATAAAAAAAATAAACTTATTAACTTAATTAACTTTTCGATTTGGTTTTTTTATTACACATATAGGTAACAAACTTTTTGGATAGTTCACATATGACCAATATGACCGGTTGTAGCAGGTTACATCCAGATGTGTAAAAAAAAATAGTCACCCAGATATGAACAAACCAAAAAGTTAACAGAGTTAATAGAGTTTTAAAGTTTTGATTTGCATTTCAAGTTATGGTTTTCAATTGATTTTGTTCTTTAATTTTTCTTTCTGATATCAATTTTCTTTTCCTGCAAGGATTGTGATGCGTTGGGTTGTGGTGGTGGAAAATTTTATAAAGTGACAGTGGGATGTAGTGTTGGTTCGCCAGAGTTGAATGACCGAAAAAAGAAGGGACGATGAAGACGTCGATGTCAGTAAAGATGGAAAGGAAAGAGAAGTTGAGAAGGATGAGAGATTAGATTGTGACTTCTCAAATGTGGTTTCAGGTTTAGGATGAGGAGACATAGATATGTAGGGTCTACTAATTTTTTTAAATATATAAAAATTAAATACATAAATAAGAAAATTAATTAAAAAATAAATTAATAAGGACACAGGTAAGACATGGACCAAACGCGCAACAAAAATAAACAGTATGGACCATCTGAGTTAAAAAATAAGTCACAAATTAGGGTTTCCACCCAAACATGGCCCAATAGAAAGGCCCAACATAAAGCCTAGTGAAATTAGGGTTTCCACCCAAACATAGCCCAATAGGCCCAAAATTAATCTTTAAGCCCATTAGAGTTTTGCTAGGTCCATTAGGGTTTTGCTAGTGGGGCACCACCCACTACCACCTCGGGTAGTGGTGGTCAATGGCGGCTCACGGCGGCGGCCACCACCTTACGGTGGTGGTTATGGTTCTTTTCATTACTCTTTTGCTAATTACAATTACAAGCTTTTAATCCACAAATAAACACACACACACACAGCCACCCTAGTGGTTCTTTTCATTACTCTTTTGCTAATTACTACTCTAACACACACACACACACAGCCACCCTAGTGGTGGCCGGCGGTGGCTCGTGGCGGCAGCCACCACCTCACGGTGGTGACGGTGGCTTTCTTGATCTATCCGACCAACAAACCCAATCATACATCACTGAAATAATACACACCCACTACTATGCTCGGAATAGCAACACAGCCACCACCTGGCGGCGTACATGGCGGCGGAAGAACCCTGGAAAGGCGGCAGCGGCAGGTTGCGTCGTCAGCCACCACCACACGGAGGTGGCGATGCTTTCTTTTGGTTCGCTGCTCCGAAAAACGTCAAAATACGCTAGATCTCACCGGAAATACATCTAAACACCACTACCCTTGCGGTGGCACGTGGTAGTCGGAGCGGCAGCAGCATCGCACCTCAACTGCTTGGAGTGACGGCGACCATGACGCCTGCTGGGCAGATGATGGCGAAGGGAGGTCGGAGAAACGGTGACGCACGTAGACCCAGTAGTCACGCCATTGACTGCTCTCGTACGGGGATAGAGGCTGTCACGCTCGGTGGCTCGACCAATCGGAAAAACGCAACAATGGTGACGGCGACTGGGATGCTCGCACCCGGCGGTGGGAGTTGCTTCCTCAAACCACGACAGTAGCAGCGGCAGTCGAGTTTGTCATCGTCGGCAATGGAGGCGGTGACTGGAACAGGGCTTCTATGGTGATGGCGGCGACCGGAGGTGAAGAAAGGGGTGGCGCCGATGGGAGATGAGGTTGCGGCTGCTATCCTCCTAGGGTTAGGGTTGAGGGTAATATTATATACCCGGCACCCCTTGAATCTTTCTTCCATAATTCCACCTTTGGCCCCTCCCCTCCCCTTTTCTTTCAAAGTGGGTCCTAATTTTACCCTTTCAGCCCTTGACATTGAAATCCTTTACAAATTAAATCCAATATTTATCCTTTTGCCCTTGATTCCATAATTCTCTTTCATAATAAGTCCTAATAATTACCAAACATACCCCCGCTTCTAAGATTCTTCTCAATCAACTCCGTAATTTACTAAACAGCCCTCAACTGTCAAAATTCTTCATAATTCAGTCCGGGAATTACATTTATTAATTTATTTATTTGTTTATTGATTAAATGGGGTGTTACAGAAGGAGTCTAAATTAAAGTTGTAGATCTCATCGATAGCTACGCGTGGATATAAAACCGTCGAAAACGAAGGTCATATGAAGAAGATACAAATTTTCTAAGAAGACGGAATTTCCCGCGTGCAGCCGCGCGCACCGACCACTTGCGCGGCGCGCCCTAACACTCCAATAGATTTGCGACATGTGTCACCAACCATAAGTTGCCACGTCACCCCCTTTCACCATATGCATGGAGCGCGCCGACATAGTGTGCCACGATTTTCAACCTATATATTCCTTATTTTTCAGGTCATTTTCTTACAACTTTCCACACATTCTCTTTGCAACACTTTCCACCTTTTAGCCCTTTACTCCCTAGTTCCGGGCTGCTTTAGCGAGCCCCTACGGCATCGAAGTGACGGTGATTAGAAGCTCTTGGGTCAGAGTTCTGCCCGCATAATCCCTATTTCGCTAGAAACTGTATGTAAGTTAGGCTACACTTACTATGCTATAAGTGTAACTTGTATTTATATTCATAGTCGTTATTATGAATATGTAAATAAAGATTTGTCAGTAATGCCAGTAATAATACTGATCAATCTACTTATGGGAGAGGTGTCTAGAATGGTCACGTTGGCTTGGTTGTTGGATTTCAGAAAAGTTATATGCCGAAATGATCTTGCATCCCAACTGTCCTGCTTGGCTAGTCCTTATTTGATCGATAGAACTATTAGTATTTGTTGGGATTGGTGATGGGTCTAGCCTACGTTACCAGATTTCCCTAGGGACTAGTAAACTCTATTATTATAGGTTGATACTTGTTAGACGCGTACTCGCCAATTGGATTACCAGGATAGCTGTTAACCATCTCAGAAACTTTCAAGGTGGGTTCTTCTCATTATATTGTATACTCCAATACGTATCCTCTGTATGTTAGGATATACTTACCCTGTAGTATGCACTTAGGTAATTAGATTAGGATAGTTAGTTGCATGTTATGGGGACTATTGTTATATGTTGATATGTATATATGGAGTTTAGGGTGGACCAGCCTTGTGTTGAAGGCCAATAGACTTGGGCGGACTAGCTTTATGTTAAAGGCCAAGGGAAAGTTGATCAGCCACGTGATGAAGGCTATATAGGGCGGACCAGTTATATGTTGAAGGCCAAGGTGCGAACTAGTTATAAGCTGAAGGACAATACGTGTATGCATTGTATATATGTTGTGGTATGTGGTATTTTGAGAGCATTCACTAAGCCTCAACTTATAGTTGTTGAATAACTATTTTACATGTTGTTCTTCGGATCAAGGAAAGGCTCCAGCATGAGTGTACTTGCATCGATGACAATAAATAACTAATGTTATACCCGTCCGGTGGCCGGGTTGACCGATGTAAAAACTATAGATCGATTTTACTTTCTTTTATAGTATCCTACTTTCACTAGTTCCCATTATAGCATTGTAGTATGAAAAATCTATAAAATGATAGTTATATCTTTCATATAAAGTTGTTTTGAATTTGATAGCCAAGAACGTGATCATGGATGGCTATAATAAATGTGTGAAGATGAAATTCAATCAATTTAATACTATTATATTTTGTAAATATATGTGCAGTATGAATATAATTCTATAAAAGTTTTTTGATTGTTAAGTAAATTTACAAAAAAGAATATTTTTTGCTTATTATAGCATCATACTTTAAGTTGTTCCCATTATAATATTTTATAATGACAAATCTATCAAGTTATAGTTAATATCATTCATATAATTGATGGGTTTTCTATACTACCTTATGGTGCACATACAACCCTAAATGCTTTGGATCTATGTTTTCTCTAATTATACATGCAATATTGTTTCCAAAGCATTAAGCCTACAACTAGCATGCAATTGACATAAACAACATAGAAATGAGTTATAGAATTACCTCTTTGTTGTAGCTTGTAGTTTTGGCCTTTAAGAACTTAGCACCAATAGTGTGGATGCCTCAAATGGAATCACAACACACCTAGAACAAAGGAGACTTTTGAGAGAATTTCTTCCACTCAAATCGGCTATAGTGACTCCAAGAACACTAGTGTGTGATTTTGGATACTAAGGGACTTCTTATATAGTGTGGAATGATTAGGGTTACACCATGTAAACCCTAATGGGCATGACTTTCCATATTCCTTAGGCTGCATGGGTTTAAACCTCCATGGATCATCCATGGGTTGTCACATGGGTTTAGCCCAACCTAAGGAATCATGGATCATTGGCCCACACCATAAGAATGAATGATTTACCAAATCAATCCTCATATATTTAATTAGTCTCTTTTGATCACAAAATTAATTCCAAATTAATTCTTTATCAATACTAGTTAAATAATATGATTTTATATTAATATATTAGAGCTTATAATATATTAATAAATCATATATAACATCTTCTCAAAAGTCCATCCTATCAAATTGTCCTGGTGATATGCAACCCAAATGGACCATGCTACT